GGGGTGGGAGAGCAGGACTGTTAAAACCTGTCCTCTTTAGAGATCAGGGGAAGCCTGCTGTGTTGGCCAAACAGTGGAGAAAAGTCTGCTTCTCTTGACTTCAAAGGCCAAGGTGCTTATCAGCTAGGTTCCCTTTTCTCAGGAGCATGAGAAGCCCTTGGGATTCTGTTGGTGAGGGGGCAGGGCTATCTGAACCTTAACAGTTACTTTTCTGTTGCTGTGACAAAACATCACGATCAAAGCCACTTATAGAGGGATGAGTTCACCATAGTGGGAAGGCATGGTAGGTGGCAGTCAGAGCAGAAATCTGAGCACTCACATCTTCAATCAGGCACATAAAGCCGAGCAAAAACCTGGCAATGAGATGTGGTTATGAAGTCTCCAATGATGCCCGCAGTGATGTGCTTCCTCCAGCAAGGTCACACCTCCAAAACCTCTGCAAATAGCAGTACCAATTGAGGCCAAGTTTCCAAATGTTTGAGTTTACAGGGGACACCTCATTCAAACTACCACATATTTTGTTCCTTGCATGTGTGCCTCCCTTGCTTACCTAAGCATGAGAATCCTCTGCCCTGTGAGAGCCCTTCTTAACCTTTTGCTTAGTCATCTTGTTGATAGAATATGTATCACTATCAGCACTCCTCTGATGGGACATTGTCCTTACTCCACTGTAACACCAAGGGTGTATGGTCAACCATTTTGTGTATGGACAATATGGATTTCCTTCCCATACTCCACAGCTTGTTCAATATCCTGGATTCCCTTTCTAATGCTTGCCTTGGTTTCCTTCTGAATCTTCCTGTGTCTCATCTACTATAACCCAGTAATTAAAAATTGCTTCCAGATTGCAATAGAGGAGAGCCTTAACATATATGACAGAATACATGAAATCCAGTGGGGGTGCTATGGATGATGCAGATAGAGGAGGAGGACTCTAAATATGATTATGATGTAGTGAATGAGATGCACAAAAACTCCATGAAAAAAATATAAATTGAGAGAAAAAGAAGTTAAAGAAAGGAATGATGTGAAGCATGAAGTGAACAAAAGAACACTCCACTCATGGGGCATTACTTAATATGTACTGAAATGACAGGGAATCAATTTCTCTGCAGGTGAATCTGTGCTGCTCTAATCTGGATGAGGGCAACCAGGAACTCAGTCTTATTTACTGAACTGAGTTACTGAACTGAGACTGCCTGTCTCTAGGCCAAATTCTACACAACCTCTGATGATTGGCATGTGCCCAAGGCACATCCCACTTCATTGAGGGATTCTTAATAGGCTGGCCTTTTCCTTTGCAGCAGTCAGTTTAGTCTGTACTCAGCATGGGCATGAGGGCTGCTACTCGGTTGCTGGGGCTGCTGTTGCTTTGGCTCCCAGGTAAGGACAGCATTGAAATCTATTCAGCCTAGTGCAGGCATTGCTTTCTGTCTGATCAAGAATCTTATTATAACAATGTCACTTGTGGATTTTTGTTTTCCTTTCCTATGTCAGGTACCAAATGTGATATTCAGTTGACTCAGTCTCCATCCTCCCTGTCTGCATCTGTAGGAGACAAAATCACCATGACTTGCCGGGCAAGTCAGGGCATTAGCAATGACTTACATTGGTACCAGAAGAAACAAGGGGAAGCTTCTAAACTCCTCATATATAATGCAAAAAATTTACAGCCTGATGTCCCATCAAGGTTCAGTGGCCAATATTCAGGGACAGATTTTACTCTGACTATCAGCAACCTTGAGACTGAAGATGTTGCAGCTTATTATTGTCAGCATGGTTACAACTTACCTCCCACAATGATACAAGTCATAGCATAAACCCCCAGAGAAGAAATGTGAGACTGAACTGCTCCAGATGTTCCTCTTGTTTATAGTATCAGATTGATGTCCTTCTTGCCACTTAGAGATTTTCCTAAAAGGAGCCTATTTATCTCCTTTGCATGTTAATTTTTTTTCTCTGCCTAGTCTATTTCTATAGACACAACAATATTTAATCTTAGTAAAGGCTATGTCTCATTATGACAGCTGTCTAGATGACAGCGTGGGTTCAGAGTCACTGTCAGAGTCACTCTGTTACCTGGTTTCAAAGCAGGACTTAAGTAAAGGTTTGTGAATTAACTAAACATTTGTTGTATAGAAGTATTTCCTACTTTGAAACACTCTGAAACATTCCATCCCTGAGGTAGACTTGTTAAAATTCAGGAAATAAGCAAACTTCATACATGTGGAAAATCTTCTGAAACTACAAGATTCCTATTTCCTCCCAAATGTTTTGTCATGTTTGGTTTAATCTGATTTTTAAAAAATAATTTATTGAGAATTTCATACATGCATATAAGATATTTTGATCAAATCCATGCCCACTCCCTCCCCTCCATCTCCTCTCATATCTCTCCATCACCTTTTTTTCTGATTGCTACATGTACTCCTTTTTTTCTTCTTTTTTTAAATGGGGCATTTTGCTACTCTAGCATTATCCCATCTGAAGAGATAACCCTAAAATCATTTAAGACTTAGATGAAAGCTCCCAAATATTGTTGACATTTTTGGACTTTTGAATGGAATATGTTGCTAAGAGGCCCAAGGGCACTGTGACTTTTAGTCAAGAAACTGGCTACTTTTCTTTGGGGTCTTTTTACCCTAACTACCTAGCCAATTCTTACCTCCTAGTCTTATCACACCATCCGCTAAAGACATTACACACTTTGCAGATAGGGAATCTGGTTGCACATGGCTCTGGCATCTTCCATGCTGACCAGGGACTCAGGGTGAGGCAATTGGGGTACCTCTTCAGTGGATCTACCTAAAAGACTTCCAAACTGCCTAACTCTTATCTGTAGGGGCATAAGAAAGTCCTTGACTGATGAATAGAAGATGTGAAGGAGAGGTAAAGGCAAGAGTAATTAACATTAAAAAGTATAGACAGGGAACTGGAGAAACACCAGAATAGGGCAATTTTCAGATGTTCATATGAAATTCCATTGGAATTTCTTGACAAGGGCTTCCAAAAGCATCCCTCTATTGGGTTCCTCCTCATTTTTCTTTTGTCTTCCAAAGCTGGACTCTAGAGTGATGGATTAAGGATTTGCTTTCAGGCATTTTCATAGCTGTTGGCATAGTTAGAGTCAGTGTCAGTTCCCTCTCAAAGGCTTCTTGATAGGGAGAGAAGATAAATTTATCTATCCTTTTAGAACAATTTCTGGTTGTCTCC